TCCCCCAGGCCTGCCAGTTTGATTCTTCTCTGTCGCTTCCTGCTTTGTCCCTGTAGCCTTCTGGACTGGGATCTCCATGGCTGCCTCATCAAGCCTGGGAGGCTGGACGTTCTGGTGAGGTGTGTGGATGGGATTCTAACACGGCTTAGCGCTGAAGCCACGCTGGCCCTGTCAGCGGTCCCCGGGGCCAGTCCTAGGATTGCTCTTCCAGTTAATTCTAGCATGAACTTCTTCGTGCACAGGACTCTGGGAATCTCCTGCATCCTTCCCCTCTCAGACCTTAGCATTGGGAGGAGCAGACCAGTGGTCACGGGTACCGGGTGCCGAGGACAGCTGTGGTGCGGAGCTGGAGTCTGGACAAGGCTGCTTCTTCCCTGGTCGTGAGGATTGCAGGAGATGCTGGGGGTCAAAAGTCCTTGGCACCTTTGTCATTACGTGCATCACCTCGTTTAGTGCCTACAAAATCCTGGGGAATATGATTTTGGTGCCCATTTCTCAAGTGGGGAAGCTGAGGCCCAGAGACCCTCCAGCATACGCAGCTAGGAAGGAGCAGAGCGGTGGTCTGAACCCATGTCTGACCCCGTTGCCTGTACTCTGAGGAGTGGTTTTTCTGACTTCTTGTGAGTCCTTCTTCCCATTTCTTTTGGATGCATGGCGAGGGAAGCTGCTGATCTTAGCACCGTGTTCCTCTCTGGGGCTGCCGGGAATATTTCTTGGCCTTGTGGGTGAGGGTCTCGGCAGGGTTCGTGCTCCCCTGGCAGCTGCAGATGTGCAGAGGAGAAGCTGTATCTTGTTCCTTCTCTCCCTGCCCACCCGGAGCCCGCTGCCCTGCATCTCACACTGCAGCTGCTCTGCAGAAGGCAGATCCTGCAGAACAGAATCTGGGACGAGCGGCCAGGGTCAGAGTAGTGGAGAGGACCTCCCGTGGACAGGACGTGGAGCTGCCCTTGAGCCTCCGGGGGAGCGAGGACGCAGCCCCAAGGACTTCAGAGGTGGTGGTCGTGGCTCAGCCTGAAGGGCGAATCCTTTGTCGAGGGACTCGGCAGGGTGCTGAGTCCCAGGTGCCCTTGGCTGACCTGGTCAGTTTACCACCTTAAGCCTTAGCACCTCTGCAATGCCAGCTCCTCACCAGCAGATGGCGGTGAAACCACAGTGTCTGCCACCTCCGCCTCCCAAGTGACACGCAAATGGCACCGGGGATGCTGCTGGTGTCCTGGGCTGCAGCCTCTGTCTGACCTCCACCTTCCTGTTTTCCCTGAAAGCCTCAGAGAACCGTGAAAGCTCTGTACGACTACAAAGCCAAGCGCAGTGATGAGCTGAGCTTCTGCCGCGCTGCCCTCATCCACAACGTGTCCAAGGAGCGGGGGGGGGGGGGGGGGGGGTTGGTAAGAGGCTGGGGGCTGGTGGCGACCCATGCTGTCCCTCTGAGCCCTTCTGTCTGACCTTCTGTTGTGCTGAGTCCCCAGGAAGGTGGCCCAGCCCATCCTCCAAAAGAGACAGTGGGTACATCCCTGACAGTGGTTGTACAGGGTCTGCGTCCCTGTGTGCTGCATGTTACGGCACCTGAGCCTGCAGCTGCTTGCTGTTCACTGAGGGCTCTGGTGTCCCCAGCACTCCTCCGACTGCTGCCACACATCATCTACCCAAATCTGTGGAGCTGAGACTGTGACTGCCCCCACCTGAAAGATGTGGCTGCTGGGGTTTCCAGGTCACACAGAGGCAGGCTCCTCCCATGGCACAAGCCTTTTAGGTCACCTTAAATTCAGATTCTTAGGCTGTGCTTCAGATGCTTAGTCCTGTGCTGTGGTCCACGGCCCTGTCCTGCATGGAAGCAAGCAGTTTTAGGGCACAGGGGCCTGGCTGGCTACTATAGCTAGCAGTTTGCTCTTTCTTCACCTTGGAAGAAAAATTCATGGCCCGCCAACAGGTCCCCAGGTGAGTGGCACTGTGTCTGAGAGCAGCGGGAACTTAGCCTTACCCAGGGCCGTGGGCAGAGGTTTGGGCACCGACAAGACCAAGGTGTCTCCCGCCACGAGGTCGCTGGAGCTGACGGAGAAATCTTGACAGCAGCTCGTGCTGAGCCCAGTGTCTGGAGCTCTGTCGTGAGCGCTTCCTTTACCTCCAACGCGCTTCACTTAATCCCCGTGAGGTCAGGACGTTCCCTTCTGTTGCTGCAACCAAACACTGACATGAATTGCCTTATAGGAGGCCGGATGTGCTTCGGCTCAGTTTCAGTCAGTGGTCAGCAGCTCCAAGGCAGATGCATCACGGCGGAGAGGCCCAGGAGGAGGCTGCTCCTCCAGGGGAGCTGGGTTGCAGAGAGCCACAGAGGTCAGGGTCAGGAACAGGATGCAGTCCCGTAAGCCGCACCCCTGCTCCACTCCCTTCTAAGTCTGTCACCTCCCAGTAACGCCACCAAGTCCTGGACATGATAATGGATGGATCCACTGCTGAACGGGGTTATAGCCTACACGATCTGGTCACCTCCCAGAGTCCCACTCGGAACCCATGAGCCTCTGGGGGACGTTTTAGGTCCAAACTATAACCGTTCTGTTGGTAGCTGTTTTATGGAGGAGGAAAGCAAGGCACAGAGAAGGGAGTAGGAACTTGTCCAGGGTCACACAGCAGGCTGGGATTTGAACCCAGACCTCTGACCCCAGGCCCATAGTCTTACTACATTCACATGCGAGGCCTTTCACTGCCCTCCTTGGGGATTCTAAACTTGTTTTAAAGCCAGGAGAACTTCTCATCCCAAAGGTGTTCTTCCCTGGACCCCGAAATCCAAAGCAGGGCAAGGTACAGCTTGACCACAGCTGGAGCGGGAACTTGGGGTTGCCCCGAGTGGCCCCTCTGCCAGCACCTGAGCCCTTCCGCTCCATGTTGGGCCCCAGTAATGGTCTCATCCCTCCACCTCCCCCAGTGCACAGGCTTGGCTTTGGCTTTGGCAAGGTCGCTCCCCTATGTGTGGCACAGTCAAAAGTGGTCCCAGGCTGCCACTGCCCCCTCATGGTGGCCCTGCAACAACTCGCAGCCACACAGCGGTCCTGTGTGAGGGGGACAGCTGTGCAGCTCCCGAGGTCTTCAGGCTGTTGTCTCGGGAGGAACTAAGACACCAGCATAAGTCCCCTAGCAAGAGACTTTGGGTGCACAGACCACCCCACCTTGCTCATTCTGGAGGAGACAGCGCCGCCTAGTGGCTGCCTGCATCAGGCCACTGTAAACTTACAAAGCCGAGGACACCAAGTAATTTATGGCCAAACCAAGACCCTTTTGAGAGGGACAGAAATGCTATGATTGCACACGGGCCAAGGATCCTCAGAAGCACAGCCGGCCTGTACCTGAGCTGGGTCTGGAGAAATGCAGGAGAAGGGGGTGACAGTGATATCACTAGGAAAACGTTCTGCTCCCCAGCCCTTGCTCAGCTCATGCCACCACCCCACAGCACAGGTGGCAGGGAGACCAGGAGGCCCTGGGGGAGAGACAGCCAGGAGCGTGACTCCAGGTTAGCCGTGAGGCAGGTGCATCCAGCAGCAGCCTGGCGTTTTTTGCCTTGATCTTAAAAAATGTTACCATAAAAACTTCTAAAAGAAAGTTTTATTACTTACATTAACTATATTAGATGTCTTGTGTGGCCCCAGAGAATTTCTCTTGGCTCATAAAAGGGCCAAAAGGAGATGGTGGCTGCAGGTTGGATGCAGGTGAGGGTGTGGCTGCTATGACAGCCCTGAGACCAGGACACATGCAAAGCACAGAGGAGGAGCCCCAGCATCGTGAGCAGTCAGGGAGGCTCCCTGGAGGGAGAATGGGCACAGGCTTCAGTGGTCATAGGAGGAAGCTGGGCAGGGAGCAGTGTGGAGGGAACACCAGGTCTGAGTTCCAGGGCCCTGGGGTTAGACCGTGCTGGGCTGAGACTGTTCAGTGAGTGTGGCCCCTTTGGTTTTGGGTGGGCATTTCCGGCCCTGAATTCACGCCCACTTCACAGGTGATTCTGAGCACTCTGTTTCCATGTGAGGATTTGCAGAGCCTCTGCGGCAGCAGTGCAACCACTGCGGGCCGTCAGGGGTCGGCAGAGGTTTATGTCACAAATACTGAAGGTCTTTATGTAACTGTTTATGATTAGGAGTGATTTCCTAAGCCTAAATATTTAGTAATGGAGTAAGAGGTCAAAGAACAAAAGCAGCGTTTCCTGTGAGGGATGTGAACTGCTCTCTGAGTAACAGGTTGATGCCTGACGTTTGGTCTCTGTTAATTGGAAGTGGCCTCCCTGCACTGACCTAAATGATGGGAGACAGACGAATGGGGTGGGGCAGTTTGGAGGTTGGAGCGTCTCAGAGTCATCCTCTGTGGGTGCGCTGGCAGGACCTGGAGGGGACAGCAGGGAAAACTGGCTTCTTGGGGGTTTCCTGCATCCTGTTCTTGTGAGCTCTGTTTTGCTCTGGCTGGGGCTGGGGAGCGGGATACAGAGGGTGGAGAGCCTCAGTAGAAAGAGGCGCTTTGGGGGATCTCAGTGCAGCCAACCAGATGCGTGTCCCTTAGGAGAACTGCCACAGCATACACACTGCAATGCTGGACAGCTGAGCACTGTGCTTGAGCTGAGCTGGGCTGAGTTTTCGAGGTTCAAGATTATTCTCCTTCACTTGGGGAGACCTGGAGGCACACAGAACGCTGGTTTGGGCCTCCCCAGCTATAGCTGTGTTCCACTGGTGTAGGGAGCCGAGTGACAGGCATTGCTGCCTCGATGTCTCTCTCTCTCTCCTATGGGCACTGCGTCTGCCTACATTAACCATAATCCTCTCCTGCTTACGTCACGTATCCGGATGTGATGGTGACTCTGTTGTATTCATTTGTTTAACCTCTTCCTGTCCCAGCTCCCGCCCTTAGCCTATAAAAGGTGTGATTATTTTCTGAATAAACCGGAAGCTTGATCGGATTATTTCGTCTTGCTTTCATCTCTTTTTGTCTCCCCCATGTCTTTTATTTAATCCCCGTTTCCCCTCCAGGAGTTCTGAACTTGTTGATCTGCAGGCCGGATCAAGTGGCGCCCAACGTGGGGCTCCTGGCATGGAGAAGTTAACGAGGGAGCCGTTCGAGAGACAGCCAGCTTAAACTGAAAGTGAAAGCAAATTGAACCAGAGACCTCGGCCGAGGAATGAGTAAACTGAATCAAGGATTAAAGCTTAAAGCAACAGGACATTAAATCAAGTGCCGAGACCTCCGCAGATGACTATCCGACGTCCTGCCCGAGTCACGGTGAGTGAACGGCAACCCCATTTCCCTTCCCAGACATGGGTCAAGTATTGAGCGAACACGAAGTGTTCATCGGAGGCCTTATAAAGGCATGAAAGACAAGAGAGATAAGGGTTGGAACAAAAATTATTACAGTATTTTCAATTTATTCATAAGGTTTGCCCTTGGTTCCCCCTAGAGGGTTCTATAGATACCAAGAGGTGGAATAGAGTAAGAGATGCTTTAAAAGATTATTATAGAGTTTTTGGTCCAAAAAAGGTTCCTGTGACCACCTTTACATATTGGAATTTAATTTCTGAGCTGCTTGCCCAGAGGCATGCAGACCCTCAGGTTGAGGAGACAGTTACACTAGGTGAGGCTGCCCTGCGCGACTCCATTAAATCTACCTCAAAACCATCCTCAGAAAAATCTGAAGCCTCTAATTTCTCAGATGCAGAGAATGATGGCCTGTTAGAGGTCCTCATACATGGTGATCTGCCAGCACTTCCACCTGTTGACATGATCAGCAGGTCCCAGGATGGCAGCCCGCCACTCCCTGTGCCTCCATGGCAAATTGGGGATTCATATAAGCCTTTAGAAACAACCTTAACTCTGAAAAGCTTGCAGCCGCACAGCAGCTGGTGCAGGACCAGTTAGATGCAGGCCACATTGTTCCTAGTAATTCCCCTTGGAACACACCTATCTTTGTTATCCAGAAAAGGTCAGGGAAGTGGAGGCTGCTACAAGACCTTAGGGCGATAAATAAGACAATGGTCTTAATGGGGCCCCTACAGCCTGGCCTCCCCTCACCCAGTGCCATTCCTTTAGGATTTTTTAAAATTGTCATAGATCTTAAAGATTGCTTTTTCTCTATTCCTTTACATCCAAAGGACCAAAAGCGTTTTGCCTTCAGTCTCCCATCAATTAATTTTAAAGCCCCTATGCAGAGATTTCAATGGAGAGTTTTGCCACAAGGTATGGCCAACTCCCCCACACTATGCCAGTCTTTTGTAGCCACTGCAATACAGTCAGTCAGAGATCATTGGCCACATATCTATATTATTCATTACATGGACGATATCCTCTTGGCAGGAGATGATCAAAACCAAACCCTAAGGTGCTACCAGGACTTACAGGTTGCCTTACAAGAGGCTGGACTTCAAATAGCCCCTGATAAAGTACAGCTTACTGATCCATATACATACTTGGGTTTTCAATTATGTGGCACTCAAATACTCTCTTTAAGGCCCCAACTGAGGCTTGATGGCCTCAGAACACTTCATGACTTCCAAAAACTATTGGGAGATATTAATTGGCTCATACCATTTTTAAAACTAACTAAACATGATTTACAGCCCCTTTATGCGCTGCTTCAGGGAGACATAGATCCAACTTCCCCCCGAGAGCTTACACCTGATGCCAGGAGAGCGCTCAGTAAAGTAGAAGAGGCTATTGCTCAACAAACTGTTTCCTTTATGGACTACAATGAGCCTTTACAGTTTCTCATTTTTAATACAAAGCTTTGCCCTACAGCAGTGATCTGGCAACAAGCTCCCCTCATGTGGGTCCATTTACCAGTCTCTCCAAAAAGAACACTTTTGCCTTATTTCCAAGCTGTGTCAGACCTAATAATCCAGGGTAGAAAGCAAAAAAAATGTTACTTTGGCAAAGAACCAGACATTATCATTCAACCTTTTACAAAAGACCAAATAGATTGGCTACTTCAGAGTACGGAAGTATGGCCTATTGCCTTAGCTTCCTATTCAGGGACTATTGACAATCATTACCCTCCAAATAAGCTAGTTGACTTTGCCAATCGTCACTCATTTATATTCCCTAAAGTCACAGCTTCACAACCCCTTCCGGGTGCCCTGGTTTTATTCACTGATGGCTCATCCTCCGGAAGGGCTGCTTATGTATCTCAAGACAATGTTTCTACCCTCCAGGCAGATACTTCCTCTGCACAATTAGCAGAGTTAGAAGTTATTCTTGCAGCCTTTGCTGCTTACTCTAACCAACCATTTAATTTGTATACTGACAGTGCTTACCTTGCTCAGTCTGTTCCATTATTAGAGACTGTTGCTACCATATGTCATGCTTCCCCAGCTGCAAATCTGTTCAAACAATTACAATGCTTCATACGGCTTCGCCATCATAAGTTCTTTATCGGTCATCTGCGAGCTCATTCCAACCTCCCAGGGCCTCTTGCCCAAGGAAATCATTTGGCTGATGTTGCTGTACGAGCACAGGTTTTTATGGCTCAGGACTCCAAGGTGTCTGAGGCCCAACAAGCCCATCAGCTACACCACCTCAATGCTCACACCCTCCACCTTCTCTACAAAATTACCCATGAGCAAGCCAGACAAATTGTAAAAAATTGCCCATCTTGTGCTATCCACTTACCTGTTCAACACCTAGGAGTCAACCCTAGAGGTTTAATTCCTAATGCCTTATGGCAAGTGGATGTTACCCATTTCAATGAGTTTGGCAATCTAAAATATGTACATGTCATTATTGACACTTATAGTGGCTTCATTTTTGCCACTCTCTAGACTGGAGAAGCTGCTAAACACATTATAGCCCATATGCTGTCAGCCTTCTCAGTTCTGGGATGTCCTCAACAGCTCAAGACCGATAATGGCCCTGGCTATACCAGTACCTCCTTTGCTCAATTTTGCAAGAGCCTTAATATCCTCCACACCACAGGTATACCTTATAATCCTCAGGGACAAGGCATTGTTGAACGTGCGCATCGTTCTCTTAAATTCACTATAGATAAAATAAAAAGGGAGACATGGTACCCCACCCAGGGGTCCCCTAGAAATATCCTTTCACATGCTCTTTTTATTTTAAATTTTCTGACCCTGGATGCTTCAGGCTGCTCCGCAGCATCTCGGTTTTGGCATACTCAGACTCAAACACGGTTTGCATCTGTTTTATGGAGAGACCCACTAACCAATGTGTGGAATGGCCCTGATCCAGTCCTTATCTGGGGACGAGGTTCAGTGTGTGTTTACTCTCAACAAGATAGAGAAGCTAGATGGCTACCTGAATGCCTCGTAAAGCAAGTAGACAGTTCTTCAAAGACCCCATATAATGCCCAGGAATAATGTTATTTCCTGAGGCACAATCCCCTGTGTTCTCTTACAGGTGACACATCTTCATGGAGCCTTATGCTGCTTAACCAGCCTTCTTGAGCCACACCACACCCATGGTGAATTTCGACCCCTGCCAAACAGACTACAATTACTGACAGCCATGCACAGAACCCCATGACTGCGGAAGAGGCTCTTCTCGGTCTGGAGGAACATACACCAGCCAAATAGACTGCATCCAGTGTTATGCAAGGCATGCTCCAAGACACAGGAGAATGACTTCATACAGAGGCACCAACAAATGACTGTCAACCCCTTCTCCTCGATTTGGGGGGGGGAGTTTTTCCCTTACCTAGCGCCCCTTTTGGGTCCCCTATCTGACCTATTGTTTCTCATTTCTGTGAGTTCTTGTATTTTTCAGAGGATTATGATGTTCATTAATAACCGGATAGACGCATTTATGGCAAAGCCCATTCAGGTACACTATCATCAGTTGGAGATGGCAGATCAACAAACCTACTGGGAAGGAATTCCCACAGTGGCCCATATGATGATGTGGCCTAACTGCTCTGGAGCAATGGACAGGCAGTCAGAGACGGGCAACTAGGACATGCATGTTAATTCCAACGGCCACCTAAGACAGGCACAGGACCAACTGCTGTTCTGCAAGCCCATGACGGGTAAGGCCTGGTTGGGTTCATGCAATGAGGTCGTTGACCTAAGACAGACGCTGTCCTCACAGGGCCTGCCATACTCTTAATTAAATAATATAAAAAGGGAGGAGATGTAGGGAGCCGAGTGACAGGCATTGCTGCCTCGATGTCTCTCTCTCTCTCCTATGGGCACTGCGTCTGCCTACATTAACCATAATCCTCTCCTGCTTACGTCACGTATCCGGATATGATGGTGACTCTGTTGTATTCATCTGTTTAACCTCTTCCTGTCCCAGCTCCCGCCCTTAGCCTATAAAAGGTGTGATTATTTTCTGAATAAACCGGAAGCTTGATCGGATTATTTCGACTTGCTTTCGTCTCTTTTTGTCTCCCCCATGTCTTTTATTTAATCCCCGTTTCCCCTCCAGGAGTTCTGAACTTGTTGATCTGCAGGCCGGATCACACTGGGCCCACAGAGCAGAAACCACTCTGCCCCCGACCCAAGGCCCAACATGCAGACATAGCCACGGAACACGCACACCATGAACACAGGGTCAGAAGACAGGCACAAGGCCACACAGGAAGAGAGACCCACGGGTGCCCCCAGACAGGTGGCTGGCAGGTGACACCAAGCCTGGGAGCATCAGAAGGGACTGTAAGTCCTAGGAGCTTCCAAAGGCATCCGGATAACTCTGGAAAAGGCCTTTTGGGTCTGGAACAAAACTAATTTCCTCAGTCTAAAATTTACTATGTCAGTAAAGGGGCCCATGTCCGTGACCCCCAAAGCTAAAGCAGAAGAAAAGTCTCACAGTCCAGGGCCACAGCACCATGAGATGGGAATCAGGAAGGAAAGGACAGGCTGGGAGCTGTTAATGGGGACATTCACAGGAGAGATGTGCTCTGGTTCACTGCTCAAGGGGCTCCCTTCCCAGGTAGGATGAACATAAAACACACTCAAAATTTAGTCCTGGTCATAATTTAGTAGGAGTTTAAAATTCCCTGACTTCTTGGCATGCTACAGAAAAATGGGTGAGGTTAACATCAGGCCCCTGCCCATCAGCACTGCAGATTACGGGACACGGCATCGCCAGGCTGGAACAAGAGGACAAGTGTCTACCACTCCCGTGTCAGGACAGCAGAACTGCACTGTGGACATGCAGGACTCCAGATATGTGCGACAGCTTCCCCCCAGGAAGTGCCGAGGCAGCTCCCAAATCAATGGTGTTTTATTCAGAAGACAAAGCTCTGGATAGGGAAGAGAGGGAAATGGCTAATTTTGCAGTACAATTCCATCTTACAGGATGATGCTGCTGTAATTAAGACTTGATGATGGTAAATCTCACATAAGGTAAATCTCCCTCTAATGAAAATTCCAAAGTCAGAAGCTAAAAATTATGAGGTAAAGTTGGGCGTTGGAAGGTCAGGTATAGGGGTCCTGGAGGTTCAACTTTGGTGACTGAGGATTCAGGCAAATACAGTAGAATGTCTTGGGGATGGTAAATTTATTCTAAGATTTTTCGATGTAAAAAAGTGTAATTTTAATTGGGACTGTTATAAAACTAAGAACCAATGTAAAACTTGGGAAGCAAAGAAGTAAGAAAAAAAAGAGATAAACAGAAACCTGACCAAGAAATAGAAATAAGGCAAAAGACAGAAGAAGAAATAAATGCAATTAAAATGTGTAGTGATCAAAATGACATGGATAAAAACTTACAGTTAATTTGTTAAATGGGCTGAGTTCTTATTAAATCCAACTATGCATGTTTATAGAAACAAGCCTAAGAGCAAATTATAAAGACAAGCAGAAAACCCAGATCACTACAAAGCTAAACACCAAACAGACAAGCATGGATGCAAGTTTTGGTGGGAAATTGGGAAGGAAAAGTTGCTATGAACAGATCTAAAGAGCACCAAGAAAATAAAACTGCCTGGTTTGCCAAGGACCATAAAAGTCATCAGGATACAGCACAGAATCAAAATATACAAAACAAACGCTTCTACCAAGCCCACCAGGTAAAGAAAAATCTCTGAGTTTGGATAACGCTGCATACAAAAAATCACAAAGGGCAAGAGATTACAATTTGATTTAAGAGATTCAACTTTAAACCACACAAATGGATCACGGATTCTGTTTTCTTCTTTGTCTCGGGAACTTTATAAACTTGCTTGTTTACTAAGTCAGAAAAAAACTGTTTTTACATTTAAAAAAAATAACTTCCTAAGTCATTATGTGGCTATATCCTGGTGAAACGTGAAAGATAAGAAGATGTTGCAAGTGCTCACTACTGAAAGTAAGAATTTTATATGTAAGAACTTCTTACACAAGTACATTACCCAGGCAGTGGGAAGATGCTTAACTGTACAGACAGACTTCATTTTTGTGGCACTTCACAGATACAGCTTTATTTTAACACATGGAAGGCTTGAGGAAACCCTCTGCTGAGTAGGAGTTGGTGCACTTTGTGTGTCTGTGTCACACTGTGGTGACTCTGACAGCATTTCTAACATTTCCATTATTATTATACCCGTTAGGATGACCTGTGAGCTCTCACGTTACTACTGTACTTGTTTTGGTGCCATGGACTGCACCCACGGAAGACAGTGAGCTTCACTGGGGAGCACTGTGTGCGCTCTGAGGGCTGCACTCACAGGCCCCTGGTCCTGTCCTTTGCTACTCCTTGGCCTCTCTATTCCCTGAGACACAAGTAATGACCCTATAGCGCTCCAGTGAAACATGACCCACATGTGTCTGGCTAACGGCAGAACTAGAAGACATTCAGCTTTGTGAGGAAGGCATGTGGAGACTTGTGTTAGGCTGAAAGCCAGGCCCATGACACCAGCCACGCTGCAGACACAAAGGAAAGGTTTTAGGAAAGTAAAAATGCTTCTCTAGGGAACACACCAATGACAAGGAAGTGGAATCAGCCTTATTGCTGGTCTGGGGATTATTCCAGTAGGTTGGATGGATCAGACCACTGCTCTATGCCAAGGCCTCGTCCGGAGCAAGGGTCTGACTGTCTGCACAGCTGTGAGGCTGAGAAGGTGAGGACGCTGCAGAGGACATGTGTGAAGCTGCCAGAGGCTGGCTAGCAGGTTTAAGGAAAGACGCCATCTCCATCAAGTGCAAGGCAAAGGAGAGCAGCAAACGCTGATGGACTCTGCAGCCAGATACTCCAAGGGCAGAACTCATATCACTGCCGAGGGCTCTGTCCAACAATATCCCCAGTGCTGGCGAGACACCTTCCCTTGGAAGAAGATGCCAGCTTGGGCTCTCACAGCAGGAGAGAAGTCCAGCTTCAAAGGCCAGGCTACCTCTCTTGTTAGGAGCTAAGGCAGCTGATGACTTTAACATCGAAGTCACTTTTCATTTACTATCCTGAAAATCCTAGGGCCCTGGAGGATTACACTAAATCTACTCTGCCTGTGCTCCATACATGGAAGAACACAGTCTAGATGACGACATATCTATTTACAGCACCGTTTACTAGGAAAAATTTCAGTCCACAGAGGAAACCTACTGCTCAGAATACAGATCCTTTTCACACTGTCAGTGCTCATTGATGGTGTAGCTGGTCACCCAGGGGCTTCCCTAGAGATGTCCAGCAAGGTAAATGTAGTTTTCACACTTGCTAATGCACGCAACAACCGTTCTGGATCAAGGAGTAACTTTAACCTTCAAGTCTAGCCTTTAAGAAATAGATCTGGTAAGCTACAGTTGCCTTAGTGATTCTTCTGATGGATCAAGGTAGAGTACATTACAGACCTTCTGGATGGGATTCACTGTGTCCAGTACCATTAAGAGCATTTGTGATTCGTGGGGGAGGGGGGTTGTCCAAACTCTCAGTATTAACAGGAACTGGGAAGAAGCCAATTTCAGGCCTCAGAGATGATCTTAAGGGAGGCAGAGGAAATAGCCAGGGAACTCGTCAGAAGTGGAGCCTGAGCGGGTGCCCGAGTCTCTGCACTCTTGTATTCAGATCAGGACGATACAGAGTTGCTGTGCGGGGACAGGTGAACACAGTGGTTTTGAGCTGGACTCCACTCCTGGCAGATGTGCTAGGCCACTGTTGAAATGACCATGAAGGAGTTAGGGTATTATATAAACCCAGCCCCAGTGGGTTTGACAGCACAGAGCCTACCTTAGAGAGAGGTTCCACTGCGTGTAAAGTGTTTCCAAACAGCAGCCTGTGCTGCAGAGAAGGGTCTGTCGATGCAGTAAACTTCACTGCTCTGTTGCCAAGAAATTGCCGCAGTCACCCCAACCCTCAACAGCCACTACACTCGTTACTCAGCAGCTGCCCAGACTTCTAGTATCGGGAAGATTATGTATGCTGAAGGCTCACAGGACTATTAGCATTTTTTTAGCAATAACCCATTTTTAATTAAGATATGTACGTTGACTTTGGACATAATGCTGTTACATACCCATAAACTATAGTGTACTGTAAATATAACTTTCATGCCCTGGGAAACTAAACACTTCATCAGACCTGCTCTGGGGTGATGATCTGGAATCGAGTCTAGCCTCTCAGTTTGGTCTGTATTTAGAAGAGGAAAGTGCTTGCCTTAAGATCTCACAGGATGCATACTAAGGTCTTATGTACTAAGTAT